GCAATATTTAGCCTTGTTCTAGATATAGCATTTGTGCCAGTCCTTAGCATTACTTACACTTGAACACTTTAGTCTGTTGTAACCTTGACTAGCAACTTTTACATTTACTTTGACCCATGCTGTATTGTCTGGTGGTCAACCTGCTAACATCCACTTCATCTCTCCTGACAAGTTCTGTCTTAAAAATCACCTATGGTCCGTTTTCAGGGTGTAGCAATCCTAGTTATAAATCTAATTGGCACGGTTTTTATCGAATATACCTGGGATGCATGTTATCTGTGTGCTGTTGAGTCAATGCCCACAACGATGCGAGCTTCCTCACTTGGCTCATGCTCGCTTATTGCCAGAATTGGTGCCTTGCTCTCGCCAACTGTAAGTTGAAATACACAAAAAATCCGTGTCATTGCTGGAATATTTCAGAATCAGAATTGAGGCTATTTCATGATCCGTCTTGAGTTTGAAATAATCCAAGACAAGTACTGAGGTTGAAATTCCGGGGTACGTATTGAGGCTAAATTGTCCCAAGACCTCTACTGAGGTTGAAATACTCCAGCATCCGTGCCGATATTGAAGTATCCTAAAATTTGTATTGCTTTTTTGTCGAGAGCTATTGGACGGAAAAATTTTTAAATTCTCTTTTGCGTCTTACCGTTTTCGTACCAAGTTCCGATTACCCTCATAACCCTTCTCAGTTCGCAGTGAGGTATCGTATATAAAAGTAGAGGACCTTTCTAAAACAAAGAACTTTTTCGCTAATTCCGTTGAGAAATTTTTTATTGTATGTACTGAAAAATTTGAACCCTTCCCTCCCCCTTTAGCCCCGAAGTATCTGATCTGAGAGTATTTTGAAAGAGGAAAACTGCTAATCATATCCCTACAAGCTGTTGCTTTACCTCTCAATATAACTCCATTTTTTTACAGCATCTCTTCTCCGATCAAGTTTTCTCTACGTCCTGACGCTTTTTCAGCTATTCTTTCTCGCAACTATATGGCCACCGGCCGCCTATCTGGCTGTTGTACTGGTTGGGCTAATTAATTTGGCAATATCATGTCTGTTTTTGGTCGAAACGAAGGGGGTCAATCTGGATACTGTGGATGCACCGATCGAAAACAGTCAGGAAGAAGAACAAGTTGCAATGATACCAAAAAATAACGATAATGCATGACCACTTTTGTTCAACTACGCTAGTCGTTATGACGCCCTTGAACAAAAAAAAAAAGGCATTTAATTCAAAGATTCAATATTCTTCGACCAATGATAACCGAAAAAAGCAAACAAAGTCTGAACGATTCAAATAAGTGATAAAAGACCAGAGCAAAAACTATCTGATATGAATAGAAAAGGGCAAAAACGCTTATACTTTTCAAGCTTTGTATGCAACAGAACTTCACATATCGTCAGTAAGCCATAAACAGACTTCTGTTACTCAATATATCTTGTAAGATTGTTGGAAAATAACATATTTTAATGTGCAGATAAGTTTGCAGTCTGTTTCATCCCTTAGCTGTAAACACAGGCAGAGCGTCGGATGCGAGTAGGGTTGGGAAATGTCAGTACAGCCCCCTACCCGCCATGTTCAAAAAAAACAGTGTAAAATAAGCATGACAAGAATAGAATAGAGTTGCAGGAGAAGTATGGAAAAAAGCGAAAGGAAATAACAGAGTGAATAAATCGAGTCCATTGACAAGCACGCAAAAACAACCCTCGCCAATCTTAACATCCATGTTGTGATTACATCCTACTGCTGTTTGTATAATTCTCACACAGTTGAGCAAATGCCCACAAATTCTTCAAAATAAATCAGTGTAAAATCTTTCCTGCCTCCACCAAAATACAGTGGTAAGCTGACTCAATAGCGTACTAGCAGAGTGACGGCCCAGCCGCCTTTTAGCAGTTGCAATTACCGTATCGTCGGAGGAAAAGAATTTGAAGAGGTTTTCACGATTTTGCAAACAACTGCTGATACTGTTCGTTCTGTTCTATTATTATCGAAATTTGCACTATAATGAGGAAATGTTGTGATTTTTCCGAATTATTTTGATTTCTTGCGTTTTTTTTTCCTCACGCTGAAAACAACGCGTTTGAAAGTGGGTCGATTCTTATTATTGAAATTTGACTTGATTTATCGTTTACGATAAAATATTACCAGAGTAAATGCTTTTATGGCCTTATGCATTGTTCTCAGTTCCAAAAAGAAGGAAAAGCTGTGTCCTCTTGGTTTTTTCTGCTTTTCGCTTGGGTGGCACCTGCTTTTCATAATAAATGTTAATTAGTAAAACCGGATGATAGGTGATAAAAATTTGACTTTGTGGTATTAAAAGGACAAATATCCAGTGCGCATTGGTTGGGAAACTGTACTTCCAGCAAATACTGCTAAATCTCTTCGACTTGGTTGGCTCGCAGACAGCGTGAATACTACTAGGCGTTGATTTTTAGGTCAACTAACATCGTTTCTTGACACTGACTGCAGGCCTATATGTTGTATCGTCTGTTACCTCAGACTTGGGTAATATAACCTTCATTATATACATACATTATGCGCAACGCGAACGAATACATGTAAAACGCAAGAATATGATAAGCATTAAAAAATATTAGAGGGAAGGCAATGATGCCTGGTCGTTCCGTCGCGCGTAGTGCTGCCCATCCGTCGTCTAGGCCCACCGTCCTCCGTCTCGTTGAACCCGTTGAAATGATAATAAATGGCAACGCGCACCAGACTAGCCGGTGCGATCATGCGTTTTGTGCAATTCAGC